GGTCATGATCTCAGGGTCCTGGGATCAAGCACCACATCAGGCTCTCTGCTTGGCAGGGAGCCTGCTTCCGCCCCTCTCTGCCTGCCTGCCTCTCTGCCTGCTTGTGATCTCTGTCAAATAAATAAATTTTTTTTTAAAAATCTTAAATAAAAAAAAAACAACACATCTTCTTTCCAGTCTCTGTTTGAGGTTTTCTTGACTGCTTGTCTACATGATGCTTCCCTGGTGGTGTGTGTGGGCCTGCCTCCACGTAGAATCTCTGGGCAAGCAGGAAGTCGTGTGTGTGACAGGCCTGACTGGCAACGCATCCTCACCCTTTCCCAGATTGTTTCTGAGCAGCTCTCACTGGGGTCACTCTGGCCTTTGTATGCAGATGCCCTTCCGCAGGCACTTATCTTCTCATGCTTGCCTTCTGTGTGGCACTTACTAGGTCATAACAGAGCCTGCCTTTCAGTAAAAGAGTCGCAATTCCCCAAACACATTTTTAAATGCCAGTTGGGTGCCTGGGTGGCTCAGTTGGTTAAGCATCCGACTCTTGGTTTCAGCTCAGGTCATGATCTCCTGGTTGGTGAGATCAAACCTCGCCATAGGCTCTTTGCTCACCAGGGAGTCTGCTTGAAGATCCTCTCTCTCAGGTAAATAAATCTTTTATTTATTTTAAGGATTTTGTTTATTCATTTGTCAGAGAGAGAGAGAGACAAACAGGGGGAGAGGCAGGCAGAGGGAGAAGCAGGGCCCTGCTGAGCAAGAAGCCCAATGAAAGACTCGATCCCAAGACCGTGGAATCATGACCCAAGCTGAAGGCAGCCGCTTAACCGACTGAGCTACTCAGATACCCCACAAATAAATCTCTTAAAAAAAAAAATAATAAAATGCCTGGTCATTTCCTGTACTCTCTGCTGGATGGCGAAAGCCTCAGAGCATTCCTTTAATCCTGTCCTTTATTCTTTAGACTCCATTTACTAACACACACTGGCAATGAAAGAAGGATTCATATACCTTCTCTCTTAAAGTCAGCAAAATAAGTCTTTTGCAGGGACTGGGGAGCAACCTCTGGGTTGTATAACTGGATTAAGATATTTCTATATTGATGTTGCCTGCCATAAGCTTAGACCCTGTCCTTTATGGTTTATCAGAGACTGTGATCTTGGGAGAAGAGATACTGGGCAAATATTTAAAATAGGTGCTTAGGGGCGCCTGGGTGGCTCAGGGGGTTAAAGCCTCTGCCTTCAGCTCAGGTCATGATCCTGGGGTCCTGGGATCGGGCCCTGCATTGGGCTCTCTGCTCAGCGGGGAGCCTGCTTCCCTTCCTCTCTCTCTCTCTGCCTGCCTCTCTGCATACTTGTGATCTCTGTCTGTCAAATAAATAAATAAAATCTTAAAAAAAATAAAATAAAACAAAATAGGTGCTTAGGCCAAAAATATTCAGGAACCTATAGTTTATGGGAGTAAAAGTAGAATATAACAAATGTGATCTGAAACTAATATAATTGTATATTAACTATACTGAAATCAAAATAGAATAAAATAAACAAAAAATAAGCATGATCTATTCTCCAGAAAAAATATCTTTGGAAGATTATTGGAACTCATTTGAGTGTATTTCTCTATATTAAGTAGTAACACGTAAATAATAATTGGACTGGCCCCCCAAATTTTTTAAAGATTTTATTTATTTGACAGAGAGACACAGCGAGAGAGGGAACACAAGCAAGGGGAGTGGGTGAGGGAGAAGCAGGCTTCCTGCTGAGACTGGCCCCAAATTTCAAGTGATTATTTATCTTTGGGTGGTGAAATAGAAGTTTGCTTGTTTGTTTTTGAGATTTATTTATTTTGGAGAGAGAGCATGAGCAGGAGGGGCAGAGGGAGAGAGAATCTAAAGTAGACTGGGCTAATAGGCATGGAGCCTGTCAAGGGGCTTGATATTGATCCTGAGATCACCGCCTGAGCCAAAACCAAGAATATGACGGTTAACCGACTGAGCCACCCAGACGCCCCAAGAATCCGCATTTTAAAGTAAAATCACCTATGTCACTATAATTCCCTTGAAGCCCTGTCACATATACATGACGCTGGATGTTTGAAGTGGCATGGCAGACCCTATTGAGTCAGCATCATGGCAGATGAGGTCGTTTTATTGTCTCATTTCTTCTGAAATTGTTGGAAGGAAAAAAGAGGTTCCCTTCCCACTCAGATTCAGCCAGGAAAGCCCTTTTGAAGTCAAAGCATTTTATTTTCTTCTATTTTTACTCTTATCTTTCCTCCTCCTCCCCCAAGGGATAAACATCGGAGACTGCAAATGAGTGATGGTTGCTAGGCTGGTAGTAGCAGATTGAAGCAGGTAGAGGGGGAAGGATAAGGAAGCCAGGGAGCTTCCTGGCACCTCCTGAATTCGACTCACCTGTGTGACTTGATTTAACATTCATCTTTTTTACTCTCATAGACACTTTTGTCCCTCTTCTAGGGAGTGCAGAATTGACTCTGTTGCCCATGAGAAACCCAAATCTGTAGGCAGAAATAGACCTAGCCACTCTTAACACACATATGACACTGGGATCTCCACCTCTACCCTCTCGGCCGCTTCATATGTAGAAGGACAGAGGGCCACAACACCCTGTTTAGAAGAGGTTTCATAACCAACCAGTAACTGCTGACTACTTACTACCTGTGTGGTTGTGCTATTTCTTGTAACCAAAGCCAGTAACAAAGGTGTTTTATACATTATTGCCTGTAGAGATATGTGTATTGTCAGCATGGGAAGTTGATACATTTTAGCTCAGTTGACTAAGAAATTGAACCCTTTGGATTCTTTCAAACTGACTTAATAATTATCTTCCTTGAGTGATTAAAATTTGAAATGGTTGAAGAGTAGACTTCAGAGGTGAAGCATTGGGATTTCTTCCTAAATAATAATTGAGGTGTTGAAATGTTAAAGTTTGAGAGGTAAATTCACTAATAAAGAAATTTCACTCATTTAATACATCTTTCTTGAACATGTGACTTTTTTTTTTTTTCCACTTTTCCCTTCTTCCTGGCTTTTATGTATAAAAATAAATGGCAATTAAAATAACTAAGAGTAGTGGCGCCTGGGTGGCTCAGTCGGTTAAGCGTCCATCTCTGGGTTTCAGCTCAGGTCATTACCTCTGGGTCCTGGGATGGAGCCCTGCATCAGACTCCCCACGCAGCAGGGAGTTTGTTTTTCTCCCCCTCTCTCTCTGCCCCTCCCCCTGCTCATGTGCATATACATGTGCACATTCCTGCCTCTCTCTTACTCTCAAATAAATCTTTTTTAAAAATTAAGAGTAAATTAAAATGTGAAAGCAGTTTTAATATTTTGATTTTTCAATATTTTAATCTGGCAGACTGGGCTTTTAAGAATAGCATATAAGGACCTTTCTAGGATGGAAACTCCACCAGAACTACCCCTCTACCACCCCCCAAAAAAACCCTCCAAAATAAATTCACTTCTGATCTTAACTATTGTGAGGTAGGAAATTAATTTATCATCTCATTATAGGAAAAGGAAAAACTGTACTTTTGTTAAATAGTAGATGTAGAAATTTTCTGTTAATACTAGATCTGTAATTCAATGTGATGCTGGAAAGATGAAGATTATTTTTTGTAGTACATAAGATAAAGCGCCCAAGTAAAGTACTTTTCACCTAAAGTCATCCTCCTAAAATTGGCAAGTTAAACTATCAAATGAGGTATGGTTTAATATAACCAAATAGTTTTAACAGTCTTTTTTTTTTTTTTTTTTTAAGATTTATTTATTTAATTGAGGGGAATGAGAGGGAGAGGGAGAAAGAGTCTTAAGCAGACTCGATGCTAGGTTGGGAGCTTGACACAGGGCTCGCCCTCACAACCCTGAGATCCGACCTGAGCTAAAACTAAGAGTCGGGTGCTTAACCCACTGCACCCCAGGCACCCCAATATAATCAAATAGTTCTTGTGAATTTTAAAAACAACCAATATAATCTTTCGTTTCTATAATTCAAGTGCTTGATGAAGACAGTCTTATTGGCCTTGAGGTAACTGTGCATTGCCTGCCTGTTATCTGTTAACCCAAATTGCAAGCTCCTTATGTCTGTAGGATCTCCTGTTTTTGATCACATTTAAACATTATGTTATCATGTTACATACGCAGTTTAAAAAAAAAAAGATGCACACATGTATGTGTGTGTGTATATATATATGTATATATATATATATATATATATATAATAATGTCGTTTACTCTCTGCCTCCTTGAGTTTGGTACCAATGCTACCATCCATGCCAGAGATTGGCCTTCATCCTTTCTCCCTGTGCTTTCTGCAGTTCTCTCCTGCTCACAGGCTTTATCCCCTGCCTTTTTGGGACTCTTCAGAACTAAACCATCCTGTGTGTATTGAAACCCAGACATACTAACCCTTAGCAATGACTGCCCTCTATGCCATTAGAAACATTAGAAGCTGTGTTCTTTTTTTTTTTTTTTTTTTTTTTTAAGATTTTATTTATTTGAGAGAGAGCACAAGCAGAGGGAGCTGCAGGTAGAGGGAGAAGCAGGCTCTCTGCTGAGCAGGGAACCCAGTAGGGGACTTGATCCCAGAACCCTGGATCATGACCTGAGCCGAAGACAGACACTTAGCCACTGAGCCACCCAGGCCTCCCATAGAAGCTATTTTCTGTACCATCTAAGTTCGTTAGCTCAGTTGACTTGCCATAAGGTTCATACCTGTTTTTTCTGTTTTGATAAAAAATACTTTATTTAAATTTTATGTTTGTTATGTCCATTATCTACCATCTCTAAGAAATTACAAACTGGAACTTAACAAATTTTGAACAAAAGTTTGAAAAAAAATCCATCTTTCTTCATATACAGTGTATTTGTTTTGGGTTGAAAGCAGTAGAGACTCTTAGAATCATTTTGATGATTATCAGAGATTTGACTCTTGACTCTTCCAGCTTTTCCCAATAAAGTCCCTGTTTCAGTTTTCCTCTTTCTTTTCTCCTTGTAGTGGACATTTGGGAGCAATAAAAATAAGAAGAAAGGAAAGGCCAGAAAAATAGAGAAGAAAGGAACCATGAAGAAACAAGCCAACAAAACTGCTTCCTCAGGCAGTTCGGATAAAGACAGTTCTGCTGAGAGCTCAGCCCCTGAGGAAGGTGAGCCATGTGGCCCAGACCTGGGGGTGAGCTCCCACTCTTGTCAGGTTGAAGCTACAGAATCAGAACTGGGGCAGGAGGTTTGGGGCAGGGCTGCATTACAGCATGGCCTCCATCTTTATTGCAGCGGTCCCTAACCTTCACAGTGGTCATGGATCCTTTGAGAATTTGAATGAAGCAAGAGAAATACACAGTTCCCAAGGGTTAGTGAGGTGCCTAAAGCCCATCCAGCAAACCTGTGAGGAGTCCCTGCATTAGAGTCTTCACGCACTTTACAAATACCCTGCATTTTCTTTCCTTCCTCTTGGTTACACATACGTGATCTGGCTGAAGAGGAAGATTCTTGAACCACATACAAAACTCAGTGGAAAAATGTTCTTATTTTGAAACCAGTTCCAGAATTTTTGCTAAACCTAGGATGAAGGTGAACTTGTTCCAGGACTAGAATGTTAAACTTTACATTTCTCTTAAGAAATAACATTTATGTACAAACTGGCCTGCATAGAATGGGCCAAACCTGGTTTTAAGCACATTGCCTATGAATGTTAGCTTAAATTGAGTCAAGCAGAGTTCTTGTTAAATTGCCGGTTTAACTTAATATTCATTTGTAATGTATACTGTCTTTTTCCATCATCCTTTATCCTGTCAAGATCCAGTTTCATTGAGAATTCACCAGTGTAATGACTCATTAAAACATTGAATATTTTAAATGCCAACTAATAAATATAGAAGAACTTGTTGAAAGTCACCATTTTTCAACCCTCATGGTAATAATTGGTTAACTTAAGAAATTATGAGCCTGAGGAGTGCCTGGGTGGCTCAGTACGTTGAGCATCTGACTCTCGATCTCAGCTCAGGTCTTGATCTCAGGGCTGCGAGTTTAGGTCCTGTGTTGGGCATAGAGCTTACCTCAATACAAGGAGGGGTGGCAATGATTATCAACACTGTGGGGTCATCTCTGTGGCCTCAGGCTTCTGTAGCGTAGTCTAATCTTATGTTTGGACCTTGCTGTAGGTGAGGTGTCAGATTCTGACAGCAACAGCTCCTCCTCCAGTTCAGATTCCGACTCATCCTCAGAAGATGAAGAATTCCATGATGGCTATGGGGAAGACCTCATGGGCGATGAGGAAGACCGGGCCCGTCTGGAGCAGATGACAGAGAAGGAGAGAGAGCAAGAACTGTTCAACCGCATAGAGAAGAGGGAGGTGTTGAAAAAAAGGTAATGTTGTAATTAATTCCTTAATGATAAAATTCATATTCAGAGCCCCATCTTCCCAGAATTCAAGACTTGAAACTTCTTAAAATTTCTTTTTTTTTTCTTTTTAATTTTTAATTTTTTTTAAAGATTTTATTTATTTATTTGACAAACAGAGATCACAAGTAGGCAGAGAGGCAGGCAGAGAGAGAGGGGGAAGCAGGCTCCCCACTGAGCAGGGAGCCTGACACAGGGCTCGACCCCAGGACCCTGAGATCATGACCTGAGCTGAAGGTAAACACTTAACCAACTAAGCCACCCAAGTACCCCACTTCAGTATTTTCTGAATTACTTTTGCCATATTTAAATGACCAGACTTCTTCCTTATCTCATAACGTAATCTCACAGTAAAAATAAACATGTTTGTTTCCTCTAGAAATAAAATAGTCCTCAGAATGGCACCTGGGTGGTTCAGTGTGTCAAGCCTCTGCCTTCGGCTCAGGTCATGGTCTCAGGGTTCTGGGATCGAGCCCTGCCTCGGAGCAGAGAGCCTGCTTCCCCCTCTCTCTCTGCCTGCCTCTCTGCCTGCTTGTGATTTCTTTCTCTCTGTCAAATAAATAAAAATTTTTTTTTTTAAGAAGGCAGTTCTAAAGGCTTTATTTACTTATTTTTAAATTTATTAGACTAAAAAAATTTATTTCACTTAAAAAAATTATTTTAAGGTGGATGCAGGTAGTTTTAAAGGTAGTTTGTTTGTGAAAAAAACTGACATTTGTCTAGGCTCAGTTCACAACTCACTGGACAGGTGATCTGAATAAGTCACTTACCTTCTTCCTGCCTCAGCTTCTTCCTTGGGATTATTATAAGCCTTGAGTGAGATGATACATGTAAGCATATTGTGTAAATAATAAGCTATTAACTTTTTAAAATAACTTCATTGAGATACATTTCATATACCATAATCTACCCATTTAAAGTGTAAAATTCAGTGGCTTTTATATATTCACAAAGCTCTTTATCTCAATAAATTTCAGAACATTTTTAATACCTAGGAGGGAAATCCTATATCACTACTAGTCATTTCTCTGTTTCCTCCCAAGCCTTCCAGCCCTAGGCAACCACTAATCTACTTTCTGTCTCTACAGATTTGGCTATTTCTGGACATTTTATGTAAATGGAATCATACACTATGTAGTCTGTTGTGACTGGCTGCTTTCACTTGGCACATTTTAGTAGTTCATCCACATAGCACATCAGTACTTCATTCCTTTTTATGGCTACATAATATTTCTTTGTATATAAAATGTATCTACCACATTTTGTTTATTCATCTATTGATTGACATTTGGGTTATTCCCACCCTTTGCTACTATGAACATTTGCGTACAAATATTTGTTTGAGTACTTACTTTCAGTTCCTTTGGATATAGACCTAAGAGTGGAATTGCTGGGTCATATGGTAATTTTATGTTTAATTATTTGAGAAACCATCAAACTGTTGTCCACAGCAGCTGCACCATTTTGCACATCTACCAGCACTGTGTATGGGTTCTAGTATCTCCACATCCTTGCCCACACTTGTTATTTTCCCTGCTGTTTGATAATAGCTACCCTGGTGGATATAAAGTAGTATTTCGGTGTGGTCTTTATTTTCATTTTCTTGTTGACTCATGATATGAGCGTCTTATGATCTCTTTGTTGAGCAATTATTATATCTTTGGAGAAAATCTGTTCAAATTCTTTGCCCATTTTTTAACTGGGGTATTTGTCTTTTTGCTGTTGTGTGGTAAGAGTTCTTTGTATAGTCTGCTTATCAAACCCTTATCAAATATATGACTTACAGATATTTTCTCTAATTCTGTAGGTTGTATTTTTCATTCTCTTGGTAGTCTTGTTTGATACACAAAAATATTTAATTTTGATGAAGTATAATTTTTTCCCTTTCTTGTTCAAGCTTTTATTTATTTATTTTTTAAACATTAGACTTTTATTTATTTATTTATTTATTTATTAAGATTTATTTATCTATTTGACAGACAGATCACAAGTAGGCAGAGAGGCAGGCAGAGAGAGAGGAGGAAGCAGGCTCCCCGCTGAGCAGAGAGCCTGATGCGGGGCTCGATCCCAGGACACTGGGATCATGACCTGAGCTGAAGGCAGAGGCTCCAACCCACTGAGCCACCCAGGCGCCCCTCTTGTTCAAGCTTTTAATGTCATATCTGAGAATATGCCAAATCCAAGATCGTGAAGATTTACTGCTATGGTTTCTTGTAGGAGTCTTAAAATTTCAGATCCTTGATCCATTTTGAGATCATTTTTTTATGTGTTGTGAGGTAGGGATCCAGCTTTATTACTGGCATTTCAATATCTAGTTGTCTCAGTGCCTTTTTTTTTTTTTTTAACTTATTTATTTGACAGAGAGAGAGAGAGAGCGTGAGAGCAGGAACACAAGCAGGGGGAGTGGGAGAGGGAGAGGTAGGCTTCCCGCGGAACAGGGAGCCTGATGTGGGGCCCGATCCCAGGACCCTGGGATCAAGACCTGAGCCGAAGGCAGACGCTTAATGAGTGAGCTACCCAGGCGCCCTGTCTCTGTGCCTCTTAAAGAGACTGTTCTTTCTGCAGTCTTGGCACACTTGTCAAAAATCAATTATATATATTATAAACATATTATATACTTATGCTTATTTGTTAACTCTCAATTCTATTCCTTTTATGTATATGTTTGTCTTACACAGTTTTGTTAACTATAGCTGTATAGTCAGGTTTTAACTTAGGAAGTGTGAGTACTCCAACTTTGTTTTTCTTTTTCAGGATTGTTTTGGTGGGGCACCTAGTGGCTCAGTGGGTTGAAAACCTCTGCCTTTTGGCTCAGGTCATGGTCTCAGGGTCTTGGGATCGAGCCCTGCTTCAGGATCTCTGCTCAGTGTGGGGCCTGCTTCCACCACTCTCTCTGCCTGCCTCTTTGCCTACTTGTGATCTCTCTCTGTCAAAATAAATAAATAAAATCTTTAAAAAAAAAAAAAAGATTGTTTTGGCTACGCGGGGCCCTTTACATTTCCATATGCATAATAGTATTAGATTCTCAATTTCTGCAAAAGCAAAAAAGGCATTTGGGATTTTTTTTTTTTTAAGATTTTATTTATTTGTTGGACAGACAGAGATCACAAATAGTCAGAGGCAGGCAGAGAGAGAGAGACAGGGAGAAGCAGGCTCCCTGCCAAACAGAGAGCCTGACGCGGGGCTCGATCCCAGGACCTTGGGATCATGACCTGAGCTAAAGGCAGAGGCTTTAACCCACTGAGCCACCCAGGCGCCCCGGCATTTGAGATTCTTATTGAAATTGTTGAATCTGTGGATCAAATTTGGGAGTATTGCCACTTTGACAGTAAAGTCTTTCAATCCATGAACCTGTTATCTTTCTGTTTATTTAGGTATTCTTTAATTTCTTTGAACACTTGTCTTCCAGTTTGGGGTGTAAAAGGCTAGCACTTTTTAAATTTATTCCTAAATATTTTGTCTTTTGGTTGCTATTGTAAATTGAATTGCTTTCTTTGTTTCTTTTTGGGATTGTTTATTGTAAGTATATAGAAATACACCTAATTGTTGTATATTGATCCTGCCCCCTCCAACCTTGCTGAGCTCATTTATTAGTTTTAATAGTTTTTAGTAGATTCTTTAAGATTTTCTATGCATAAGATCGTGTGAGCTACAAGAAAGACAAATTTTACTTTTTCCTTTCCAGTGTGGATTCCTTCTATTTTTCTTGTCCTCCAGTATGATGTTGAATAGAAATGGTGAGAGTAGCCTTGTCTTGTTCCTGATCTGTGAAGGAAAGCATTCAGTGTTTCATTAGCTGTGGTTTTTTCATAGATATATTTTATCCATTTGAAGAAGTTCCTTTCTATTCTTCTTTTTTTTTTTTTAAGATATTTTATTTATTTATTTGACAGAGATCACAAGTAGGCAGAGAGGCAGGCAGAGAGAGAGGAAGGGAAGCAGGTCCCCTGCCGGGCAGAGAGCCCGATGTGGGGCTTGATCCCAGGACCCGGGGAACATGACCCGAGCCGAAGGCAGAGACTTTAACCCACTGAGTCACCCAGGCGCCCCATTCTTTTCTATTCCTAGTTTATTGGGAGTTTTTACCAAGACAGTTGTTAGATTTTTGTGTAATGCTTGTTCTGGGTCTGTTGAGATAGTTTTGAGGTTTTTGTACTTTATTAATAATAGTTATATTACATTGATTTTCTTATGTTGAACCAACATTGCATATCTGGATATATCCTACTTCGTGATGGTATATCCAGTTTTTTATAAGTTGCTGGATTTAATTTGCTACTATTTTGTTGCGTTTTCTTTACTTACTTTTCTCATAATGTCATTATCTGGTTTTGGTTATCAGGATAATACGGGCCTCAGAGAATAATTTAAGAAGTGTTTCCTCTTCTCTTTTTTGAAAGAGTTTGTGAAGAATTGGTGTTAGTTCTTTCTTTCTTAAGTGTTTAGGAAAATTCTCCAGGGAAGCCATGTGGGCATAAGCTTTTCTTTGTAGGAAGTTTTAAAACCACTATTTCAATCTCTTATTATGGGTCTATCCAGATTTTTATAGGTTTTTTTTTTTTTTTTTTTTTCTTGAGTCAGTTTTGGTGGTTTGTCGCTTTCTTGAGATTTTTTCCATTCCGTCCAAATTACCTACTTTGTTACCATATAATTGTTCAGGGTGTTCCCTTATGATATCTTTTATGTTTCTGTAAGGTCCATAGTGATGTCTCTTCTTTCATACCTGATTTTAGTAATTTGAATCTTCTGTCATTTTTTCTTGGCCTGTTTAAACAAAGTTTTGTCTGTTTTGTTGATCGTTTCAAAGAAGCAATTTCTGGTTCCATCGATTATTGTTTTGCTATTCTGTGTTTTTGTTAGTTCCTGCTCTAATTAATTCTTTTTTTCTGCTTGCTTTATATTTAGTTTGCTGTTCTTTTTCCACTCTGTTAAGGTAGAGGTTAAGTTAGTGATTCAAAATATATATATATATTTTTTAAGTAAGCTCTGTACCCAACATGGGACTCAAACTCACAACCCTGAGATCAAAAGTCACATGCTCTATCAACTCAGCCAGCCAGCCAGCCAGCTATCCCTATCTTCCTTTTTAATGTAGGCATTTATAGCTATACATTTCCCTCTAGGCACTACTCTAGCTACATCCTATAAGTTTTGTTATGTTGTGCATTCATTTTCAGTCCTCAAATTATTTTCTAATTTCCCTTGTGGTTCCTTCTTTGACCCATTGGTTATTTAGGACTATGTTTTTATGTGGGTGTTTTTTCTTTAATGTTTTTATGTGTTTTTTTAAGAAATTCATTAATAGTGCTTCTTTATATCACATTACAAAAGTTCATTAACAACCCTAATTATGAATGTAAAGGATATAACAAAAGAGACTTGTGTACTGTGTTAAAAATTAAGTAAAAAAAAAAATAGTTGGGGTTATTTTAAAGTGTTATGAAAAAAGTTTAATGTTTATTATATTCCTGTATTCCTTCCATAATGTTCCTTGAATTCATGCCTCCCAAAATAGTTTTGTTTCATAAGAGCCTGATTTTTGTTATAGGGAAGGAGCTTAGATTGCATTTGTTGAAGAGAATAGTGTATTTATCCACAGCATATTTATTCATTGTGTTTGCTGGTGTGGAGGTGAAGGGGGGAGGCATTTTTCCTAGTGAGGAAAGATGGAGAGTGGTGGTTTTTTAAATTTTTGTTTTAAAGATTTTGTTTTTTAATAATCTCTACAGGGGCGCCTGGGTGGCTCAGTGGGTTAGGCCGCTGCCTTCGGCTCGGGTCATGATCTCAGGGTCCTGGGATCGAGCCCCGCGTCGGGCTCCCTGCTTAGTGGGAAGCCTGCTTCCCTTCCTCTCTCTCTGCCTGCCTCTCTGCCTACTTGTGATCTCTCTCTGTCAAATAAGTAAATAAAATCTTTAAAAAATAAATAAATAAATAATCAATCAATCAATCAATCAATCAATCTCTACACCCAGCATGGGGCTCAAGCTCATAGCCTGGAGATCAAGAATTACATGCTGTACCAACTGAGCCAGCCAGGCATCCCAAGAGTGGTGTTTTTAGGATACACAGTCTTTGTCCTGACCACCTTAAAAAATGTGACAGTAGGGGCACATGGGTGGCTCAGTCATTTGAGCTTCTCAGGGCTGTGAGAGCGAATCCATGTCAGGCTCCAAGCTCAGAGCAGAGTCTTCTTGGGATTCTCTCTCTCTCCCTCTGCCCCTCTCCCTAGCTCTCTGTCTCTCTGTCTCCCTGAAATAAATAAATCTTTAAAAAAAAAAAAAGGGACAGTGGCTCTCTGTAGTTTCATTCTGTTTCTAATGGAACATCATTGCAATTAATCCAGAAATCAACTGTTTTCTGTTATGTGAAGATTGAAGGAGAGCTGTGTGTTACCAGCAGGGTACAATAGTATCTTGAATATTTTCTCTCATTTTAAGTCTGTTCCAGCTTAATGCTTTCAAGTGCTTCTGGTATACTTACGCTCAATATTTTTTTTTCAAAGATTTTATTTATTTATTTGACAGAGATCACAAGTAGGCAGAGAGGCAGGCAGAGAGAGAGGAAGGGAAGCAGGCCCCCCGCCGAGCAGAGAGCCCGACATGGGGCTCGATCCCAGGACCCTGGGATCATGACCTGAGCCGAAGGCAGAGGCTCTAACCCACTGAGCCACCCAGGCGCCCTACGCTCAATATTTTTAATGTACCTATAAGGTTAATTGGAGTTTCTTGCAGGAAACCAAGACATTCAACTCCTTCCCCTACTTATTTCCTTTATCCTATCTAATAGAAATCAGTTTTTGTAAATACTTCATTGTCATCTAAAAACCAAACAAATATCTTTTAACCAGATTTGAAATCAGGAAAAAACTAAAAACAGCCAAAAAGAAAGAAAAAAAAGAAAAAAAGAAAAAGCAAGAAGAGGAGCAGGAAAAGAAAAAACTGACACAGATTCAAGAATCTCAGGTAGGAAATTCAGTGTTCCTTGTTATCCAAAAAATAAACCTCAGTTTTGAGTGTGTGTGTGTGTGTGTGTGTGTGTGTGTGTAAAAGATGGTTTTATTTAGGGAAAAAAAAAAAGATGGTTTTATATTAATCAGCGTAGTTCAGTTCATGCAAGACATACTGTCTTTATCTTGTAGGCTCACCAATCTCTGGACCTACAATTTCACCATTAGCCATGCTCATTCCTTAGGAATTCTTCACCCAAGTCTGCTTTTTATTTATTTATTTATTTTTTAAATTTTTTCCAAGTCTGCTTTTTAAAAAACAACTCACTGGTGTGTGAGCATTCTTTAAGGGAAAGTTGATAAACATCCTATCCCAGGTAGCTGGATTAGTTCTGAGGTTTACTCAGGTGTGTGTCATCCTGGACTTGGTAATAAATGTAGCTGAGAAAATTAGTCATCTCTGCATTCATCATAGAAATCTTGTTAAAAATATCCACAAATATGAGCCATCTAGGGTCGCCTTCCAGAAAGTGTTTATTCCTATAATTCTTCGGCTTTCTGTTTATTAGCCAGATAAGACAGGAGTTGACTTTGTGCTCTCTCCACTTTGTCCACTAGAGGATGCTCGCTTCCCCTAAACAAGTTCGAGTTTCTGCAGCCTGTATAGATTCCCATTGGAAAACTGAATGATTAATTGTTAGGTACGAAGAATGTTGTCATTGGCTGTTAATAAAAAGAGCCATCCTACATGTTTTTCCCTTCCCAGGTAACATCCCACAACAAGGAACGGCGTTCCAAACGGGATGAGAAACTAGATAAGAAATCTCAAGCCATGGAGGAGCTAAAAGCAGAGCGAGAAAAACGGAAGAACAGAACAGGTCAGTGGGGAAAATGTAATGGCTACTTTGTCTCTATGATCATATGATTTGATGCTCTGGTACCCGTTTACATTTCTCACCCTCTTTTATAAGCTCTTTTTTTTTAAGTCCTTATTATGGGTAATTCCAAACACATGCAGAGAATAGTATAATGAACCTCCATGAACCTGTCATCCAGCCTCAACAATCAAGTCATAAACAGTCTTGTTAAATCTATATTCTCCTCTTTCATTGGGTTATTTTGAAGTAAATCACAGCATCACTGTATTTCAGCCATAAATATTTCTGTACGTGTCTTTAAAAGATAACCACTTTTGTTTTAAAAGTAACTACAGTATCATTATCACATCTAAGAAATAGTAACAGTGACTTTCTTAATATTATGAAATATCTAGCCAGTGTTCAGATATCTCTAGTTGTATAATTAAAATATACTAATTTGGTTGTTCAAATCAGAATCTTAAAAAAATCCACACATTGTGATTTGTTAGTATGTCCCCAAAGTTACTTAATCTGTATAGGTTTTCCTGTTCATCTCTTTTTTTCCCCTTGCAGCTTATTTTGAAGAAACGAGGTTCTTCGTCTTATAGTTTCTCTGATGCTGGCTACCTCCCATAGAGGTGCTGAATGTGTTTCTCTGGTATCTTGAATTTCCTCTAATTTGTAGTTAGAGCTAGGGAATTGGACATATTCGGATTTGTTCTGTTTCTGTTTCAGTTTCTTTGTGGCGGGTTTTAGGTTGTGATGTATACTTCCATCAGGAGACACAAAATACCTGTGTCTCACATTTTTTGATATTACCAGCTCTGTCACTTATTTTTGCCGCAGTAACGTGAAATAAAAGACTGCTCCAAACTCATAAATACGCCTTTGCTCCTGCTTGTGGATCTGCAGTTGAGCAGTGGGTTACCTCATATGCATGTTAGCTGGGATAGTCTCCAGGCTGCAGGTTGGGACCAGCAGTCTCTCTCCCTGTTACACCTGTCTCTCTCCCTCCTCAGACCAATATACCTAGGGCACATTCTTCTCCTGGTGATTGTAGGAAGGTAGTAGGGCAAGCAGAAATGCGAGATAACTCTTGAGGCCTAAACTTGACATTGGCACGTGTGGTGTCAGCTCTTTGCATATTCCATTGGCCAAAGTAGTCACATGACAAGCCCATTGTTAATGGCTGGGAGGACTCCTGAGTCACATGGCAAAGGGCATGGGTACAGAGAAGGATGAAGAATTGGGAAATAGTAATATGTTCTATCCCAGCAGCCATTGGTAATCATTACCTGGATCATTTAATTCATTATGAGTTGCAAAATGGTGATATTCTAATCCCTCATTCTTCATTTATTATCTGGTCTACTTTTCATAAAAAGAAACTTCTCATCAGCTATTTAGTTATCATTAGGTACATTTTGTATAAAAAAGGCAGAATAAATGCTGGATTTTTTTTAAACTTTTATTACTAGTTTTCAAAAGAATAAGATAGTACCTTAGCAGATTCCAAAGGTGACCTCTGTGGTTTCTTTGCTTATTGTGTGTGTGTGTTTGTACATATGTATGTATTTTTTAAAAGATTTTGTCTATTTATTTGAGAGAGAGAGAGAGAGCACAAGCGGAAGAGGGGAGAAGCAGACTCACCACTGAGCAGGGGGCCCCACACTGGGCTGGATCCCAGGACCCTGGGATCATGACCTGAGCTGAAGGCAGAGGCTTAACTGTGACTGAGCCACTCAGGTGCCCCTATTTGCTTATTTTGAATATCATGTGAATTCATGGATTTAAACATCCTTTGTGTATTTTAATCCCTTTCAGTTATTATCGACTCTCAAATTGTACCATCTTTAGTCACTAGCCTGAGTCCTTTTGATGTGAGATCTCAGTAGTCATTAGTTTCCTTGTTTTCTGGATTTTGAATCTGCCATTTCTCTAAAGAGTCTTTTTATGAGAAACTGTTACTAGACACCATAGTCTAGACATAAGGAGGGCTCATGCTACTGGGTTGGCTACTACTTCTAAGCTTTTCAGTACACACAGCTAGCTTTTTTTTTCTTTTTTCTTTTTTAAGGGTAAATTTTACCCTTTTGAGCTCCATATTGATAAGTCCATTTCAGAATCAGAGGGAAAAGGTTTTTGTTTTGTTTTTCATAATAGCATTATTGAGATAAAACAAAGGTAATAGGATGCCTGGGTGGCTCAGTCAGTTAAGCATCTGCCTTCAACTCAGGTCATGATCCCAGGGTCCTGGAATTAAATCCTGTGTTGGGCTCCCTACTCAGCAAGGAGCCTGCTTCTCCCTCTACCTGCTGAATCCCCTGCTTGTGTGCTCGCTTGCTCGCTTGCTATCTCTCTCTCTGACAAATAAATAAATAAAGTCTTTAAACAGAAAGAAAAGAAAAAGGCAAAGGTAGTATACTCTTTACTCATTTAAAGTATAAAGGCAGTGGCTTTTAGTATATTCACAAAGCTGTGAGATAAAACTCAGTAAATTTTAGAATGTTCCATTACTCCAAAAAGAAAATTTGTATCCCTTAGCCATCACCGCCCCCCCCCACCCGAGACCTATCATCCCCCAGTCTTAGGCAACCTGTAATTGACTTTCTGTCTCCTTAGAGTTGCTTGTTCTAGACACTTCATATTTCACTTAATATTTTCTTTAAAAAGTACATGCTATTTCCTAGATTTATTCATGTTGTAATATATATTAGTTCATCAGTGGATTTATATGTTTATTTTATCCATTCACCTGCCAGTGAACATTAGGGTTGTTTCCAGTTTTTGACGATTACAGATAATGCTGCTGTGACCATTTGTATATAAGTCATTGGGTAGACATATGTTGTCATTTCTCTTGAGTATTTGCTTAGGAGTGAAATTGTTGAGGCATATAGTAGCTCTGTGTTTGACCTTTGAGAAACTACAAGACTGGCACCTGGTGGGTGGCTCAGTAGGTTAAGCATCTGCCTTGGGCTCAGATCATGATCCCAGAGTCGTGGGATCGAGTCCCGCATTGGGCTCCCTTTCCGCTGGGGAGCCCCCTTCTCCCTTTACCCCTCCTCCCTGCTTGTCATCTCTCTTTCTCAAATAAATAAAATCTTTAAAAAGGAAAGAAACAAAAGAAACTACCAGACTGTTTTCCAAAGAGGTTTTTTTGCATTCCCACCAGCAAAGTATAAATGTTCCAGTTTTTCCACATCTTTACCAAGACTTGTCTTTCTGGGAATGAAGTGGTATTTCTTTGTGATTTTGATTTGCATCTTCCTAGTGATTAGTGGCTTTGAGCATCTTTTCATGTGCTTATTGACCATTAGGGTATCTTTGCTGAAATGTCTGTTCAAGTTCTTTGCCCATTTTGTATTTTGTATTTTCAGAGATTTTTATTTATTTATTTAAGAGAGAGTGAATGAGAGAGAGCATGAGAGGGATAAGCAGACTCCCTGTGGAGCTGGAATCCCGATGCGGGACTTGATCCCGGGACTCTGGGATCATGACCTGAGCTGAAGGCAGTCACTTAACTGACTGAGCCTCCCAGGCACCGTCTTTGCCCATTTTTTAAATTATGTTCTTTGTTGTTGAATTTTGAGTTCTTCAAATATTTTGAATATTAATCCCTCATCGTATAGATGATTTGCACATATTTTCTTCCATTCTGTAGGTTTCGTTTCACTCTTGCTAGTATCTTTTCATTGCATAAAAGTTTTTAATTTTTTTTTTTTTTTTTGAAAAGAGATGATCATAGCAAGCTTTAATGTTTCATACTGCATATATGCCTCAAGCATCACACTGAAAACAAAGTCTGCCCCCTTACAGTGATTCATCACTGGAGAACATAACACAACTTAGCTTATTACTGCTCCTATTACACAACTCCACTCCAAAAAGTGGAAAAACACCACACAAAATATAAAGGTTAGTCCAAATAAAAGTCAACATCAACCTAAGGATTGTACATTATTACTATACTAACTTAGGATATTATAATCCTTTCAACCTATTTATAAAATATCCTCATTCTGAGAGCTCAGATGCATTACAAATATCACTGTATTAGATTCTTCTTCTTAAGGTAATTTAAAGTCTTGAAACATGCAAATTTACCTATTTTTTCTGCACAACTACTGAGGGATAATTGTCATGAAAGGCCTACAGACAAAATCCTCACCTGATTCTTAGATCAGATCATACAAGCTAATCTAAAACTGGAAACACAAAGAGACTAAGTCATACAAAAACAAAAAGTACAAACAGAAAAAAGAACATGAAAAGGAAATCTGTAAGTGGCATCACACTAACAGTCTAAACTTTGCTACAAATGGGAAAATTTACTTGATTTACCAAAACTATATAGGCATTTTATAAAGTACTCAAAAAATAACGCTTATAAAAAAAGGGGAAAATTTTAGGTGAGATCATCAACAAAAATCATCTTATTCTTTGGCAAAGAGTTCTTCCAAAATGTCATGTCCACAAGAAGTGATGTCTGTCAAGACTGTGTTTAGGCTGACTCACACACCAGATCACCTTCAGATCAGCTCTGACTCAGGTTTGCTTCATTGGTGCAGGGATATTAGCTGATGCCTGCTCGAGGTAGGCCAAGGAGCCCTGAGGGATCTCGGCTGGCTTTTTGTGCTGCACGTTGATGTCTTCCAGCACCTGCTGCCAATGCCTCAGTTTGGTCAAGTGCTTCTGGACCAGAGCATCTTTCCGCTGTAACTCATTCCTTAGTTCGGAGACATCCTCTTTGATAACTTGCTCTGGTTTCTGGACAGATAACTGCAATCTTTTCTGTAGGAAAAAACATTCCGTCTGTCTTGCAATATCCAGAAATTTCTGGATACATTGATCAACACCAGTTCTAATTTCTTCCTGATCCGTGCCATTGACATAGTCCTGACTCACAAGAGAAGCAAAGCAAGCTTCAAAAGAAGACTCCAACTCATCCACCAAGGTGCTGTTAGAAGTTCTCGGAGGGCCTGGCACGGCCTGAAGAAGCGAAGCTTGGCCCCTGGAGTCCCCGGGGCGTCCAGGTGGCTGCCCGGAGAACATACCTCCCAGTGGAGCCGCCATTTCTGGAATCAAAAGTTTTTAATTTTGATGAAGTACAATTTAACTTATTTTTTTTTTTTTTTTTTTTTTTTTTAAAGATTTTATTTATTTATTTGTCAGAGTGAGTGAGCACAGGCAGAGTGGCAGGCAGAGGCAGAGGGAGAACCAGGCTCCCTGCTGAGCAGGGAGCCCGATGTGGGACTTGATCCCAGGACACTGTGATCATGACCTGAGCCGAAGTCAGCCACTTAACCAACTGAGCCACCCAGGCGTCCCGCTTAATGTTTTTTCTTTTGTTGCTTATGCTTTTGGTGTCATATCCAAGAAATCATTGCCAAATCCAGTGTTGTGAAGCATTTCCCTTATGTTTTCTTCTAAGAGTTTCATAGTTTTAGCTCTTACATATAGGTCTTTGTTTTTTGGTTTTGGTTGGCTGGTTGTTTGGTTTGATTTGGCTTGGTTTGGTTTTTAGACAGAGAGGATGGCGAGGGGCAGAGGGAGAGGGGGAGAGAGAATCTTATTTGGAGCCCTGTCCAGGGCTCCATCTCACAACCCTGAGATCACTGAGCCAAAATCAAGGGTCAGACGCTTTACAGACTGAGCCACCAGATGCCCCACATTTAGGTCTTTGATTCATATACAGTATAGAGTAAGGGGCTAAGTTCTGTTTTGTTTTGTTTTCACATGGTATGTTCAGTTTTCTCAGCACTGCTTTTGAAAAGATTTATCATTTCCCGCATATATACCCAACAAGGGGCTTGAACTCATGGACCCTGAGATCTTACAATATTTTTTTTAAAGATTTTATTTATTTATTTGACAGAGATCACAAGTAGGCAGAGAAGCAGGCAGAGAGAGAGAGGAGGAAGCAGGCTCCCTGCTGAGCAGAGAGCCCGATACGGGGCTCGATCCCAGAACCCCTGGGATTATGACCTGAGCTGAAGGCAGAGGCTTTAACCCACTGAGCCACCCAGGCGCCCCTGGACCCTGAGGTCTTACTTAAGGAAACAAAAATCTTACTTAAGGAAACAAAACAAAACAAAGTTTCCAAATCAAAGCTCCTAAAGAAGATATATTCAAAGAGATTTAGTATCTATACCTTTCTATTTCATCCCCAGCCTCCCTTCTGTAACAGGCAACCTTTTAAAAAAATTTTTTAGATCCTATCCTATCCTATCCTATCCTTTTTTTTTTTTTAAATGAAAGGATGCAGATTCACCTTCCATCTTAGATTAATGGTAGCTCACCATGCATACTTTTCTCTACATTGCTTTTTTCACTAACCACAGATCCTAGAGGTCACTCCTTAGTTTTTATATAACATAGTGATTGGTAGATGATTTTTTTTTTTTAAGTTTTATTTTATTTAAGTAATCTCTACACCCATTGTAGCGTTTGAACTCGTGACTGGAGATCAAGAGTCGCATTCTCCTACTGAGCCAGCCAGGCGCCTCTAAACTACCTGTTTTTGAAATATAATTTTATTGGAAAGCAGCAATGCCCATTTGTTTCATAATTGTAGCTGCTTTTTATCTATAGCAGCAAAGTTGAATAGTTGAAATAATGACCACGTGAAGCCCAAACCTAAAATATTTACTGAACGCTCCTCTAAAAAAGCGTTTTCTAACTCAGGATGTAGTGTAATGACTCATTCCTTTTTTTCTTTTCTTTAAAGATTTTATTTATTTTGGGGCACCTGGGTGGCTCAGTCAGTTAAGCATCTGCTTTTGGCTCAGATCATGATCCCAGGGTTCTGGGATCGAGCCCCACGTTGGGCTTCTTGCTCACGGGGGGTCTGCTTCTCCCTCTCCTCTCCACTCTTGCTCTCTCTCGCTGTCTCTCTCTCTCTCGCTTGCTAAAATAAAGATCTTTTAAAAGATTTTATTCATTTATTTATTAGAGAGTGTGCGTGGGAGGGAGAGGAAAAGAGAATTTGAAGCAGACTCTTAGTGCAGAGCCCAACCTGGTACTCTCTCCCACAACTGTGAGGTCATGACCTGAGCCAAAACCAAGCGCCAGACATTGAACCTACTACACCACCCAGGTGACCCTGGTCCCTCCATAGCTGCATAGTAGTCTGTTTAGGTGGATGTACTAGGGGTGATTCAGCCACTCCCCTATGCAGATATTTGCGTTGTTTTCAGTCTTCTGCTAATTCAGATAGTACTTTAAATTGCAAATAAAATTTTTCTCCAAGACTGTCTGAAGACATCACAAAAATTTTCCCCATCTTTCTTGCCCATCTTCAAACATCTGGAGTGTAATAAAGGTAACTCATTAGAGTTGGCAACCCTTTCTGCCCACATAGCAATAAACTTCCAGCCCTTTTTTGTCTATTAAAGCTCAACAGTTGGTGCCTGAATTTGTTTGTTTGTTTGTTTGTTTTAAAGATTTTATTTATTTCTTTGAGAGAGAGCATGAGAGAGAAGGTCAGAGGGAGAAGCAGACTCCTCAAGGAGCTGGGAGCCCGATGCAGGACTCCATCCTGGAAGTCCAGGATCATGACCTGAGCCAAAGGCAGTCGCTCAACCAACTGAGCCACCCAGGCGCCCCGCCTGAATGTTTTTAACTCCTGTTTAGCTCGGTTCTTTCTGTAACCCCGGTGATCACTATGCAGTCCAGAGAGGATAGGGCTGTCTGTTGAGTCCCTTCCCGTGTCCTGGTTCTTTTTCAAGCATAGAAGATGTTTCAGTTTCTTATTGAGAGAATGTGGATAAACATTTCCCCTTTCTTTTTAGCTGAGCTCCTCGCTAAAAAACAGCCATTGAAAACCAGTGAGGTGTACTCTGATGATGAGGAAGAGGAAGAGGATGACAAGTCCAGTGAAAAGTCAGACCGCTCATCCCGAACATCATCATCTGATGAAGAAGAGGAGTAAGCTTATGTATATTTCGGTCTAGTGGTCAGGATAGGTGGGTTCTTTGGGGAGAAACTTAGTGTAGTTTCCAAAGTCTTCTTGTTTGGGTGGTGAACTTCGACTTGGTTCAGTACCCTGAATTGTGGAGCTGAGTTCCCCAACAAAGCAGTCCAAACATGTGCTCCTGCCTTTGGCTCCTAGCCTGCACCTCTGGACGTTTTGTCTGGGCCTGGCAGGTAGGCACTAACTTCATGTCACCCTCAGACTGGCCTGGAGTTTCCATTACTTTTCTTACTCTGGTAGGTTATCTGGAATGACAGCCTCACTGAAGACAGTTCATAGGAGCAGGGTTCTGTTACCACTCTTTCCTATGACTTCATTTATTTCTCTTACAGTTAATCACATGTACTTTGGTTAAGTGTTAAGAAGTTGGTAGTATTTCTGTATCTTGATCTGATTTGTTGTTGTTTTGTTTGTTGGTGGGGTTTTTTGTTTTGTTCTGTTTTTCCAGAAAGAACACATGCCGGAGGCTGGGGGTGGGGAAGGGACTGAGAAGGGAGAGAGAAAATCTTAAGCAGGCTCCATGCCCAGTATGGAGCCCAACATGGGGCTGGATATCGCAACCTTGAGATCATGACCTGAGCCAAAATCAAGAGTCGGGGACACTTAACCGACTGAGCCACCCAGGCACCCCTTGATCTGTTTTTATGAGGAACACTTTTCCCATTACCCTTTATTCCTCACAGGAAAGAAGAGATCCCTCCCAAATCACAACCAGTCTCCTTACCCGAGGAATTGAATCGGGTTCGATTATCACGGCATAAGCTAGAGCGTTGGTGTCACATGCCCTTCTTTGCTAAAACGGTCACAGGATGTTTTGTACGGATTGGCATTGGAAACCACAACAGCAAACCAGTTTACCGGGTTGGTGTTTCTTTCCATGGACAATTGTCCGTGTTTTAAATATAATGATTCTTGACTGGGAGTAGGAGCTGCTGAACAAGTCTGTCACTTTTCTGCTACCATTTGATGGGAAAATAGACTCTTATTGAGATGCCTTTAGAATAATGACAGTCTGAGGTAACCAGAGATTGTGCATGACCTGCTGCCAGAAAGAGTCTTTGGAGCCCAGTGGCGGGGGGTTTAGATTTAGAATAACTCTCTTTATTTTTCCATTCATATAAAAATGAGGAGAGAGTCATTTAGGGAGTATTCATTGGGAGTTACATAATCTGGAAGCTTTGTTCATTTGAAAAATAAATAAATGAAAAATTTCCATGCTACATACTGAGTGACTTCTGAAGCAGAATTATATTGAGATTTAAAAACAAACACAAAAACACAGAAAACCACCCTCCAACCTAATAGAGGTGGTTTTGTGAGTTCTGGCACTGCCTCTATGATCTGAATGGCTGGAACATAGCTGTTTGATTATTTTTTTTTCTTTTCTTTTTGTTTGTTTTAGCCTGGGTTGTACGGTTTTAATATGTGTTTACCTCCTTCTGTGAGGACCAGCAGCCATGCTGTGTCCCAGAAAGCTTGACAAACAGAAACTGAATTCTATGGTCTTCTTACTTGCTTAATAAAAGTGACCTCTGAGATCCGAAGCGCATCCCTTAGTAAGGTAGAATGAAGTCAGAGGGGACGCTCCTGACAGCCGCACCAGGCTAACTGCCGCCTCTCCTGGCGCTTGCTCACTCTGTGTTCAGGGCTCCTGGTGCTTGGCCATCTGAGTTCTAAACCTGAGGAAGGGGCCCAGGGCACTTGGAAGCTATGGTGTCCTCTCAGTGCAGGGTCACTCATCCACAGCTTAGGTGGGAGTGCAGTGGAGAGCTCTGAAAGGGTCTCTTTTTAACTGGCTTTGCTGTCCTTTCACTTAGGTGGCTGAGATCACAGGTGTTGTGGAAACCGCCAAAGTTTACCAGCTCGGTGGCACCAGGACAAACAAAGGGCTACAGCTACGGTAGGGAAGGCACTGCTAGGACGGCTTCTACTACTGCTGCCCACGGGCACTGCCTGGTGGGGCTGTCATACTTGCCCCGTGGGGCATTTCCTATTAGAGGGAACTTGGAGGGAAGCTTATTCTCCCTTCACCTCTGGGAAAGGTAGGGGAGATCCGGGACAAGAAGTGGGAGGACACAGAAAAGGAAGAAGGCTATTTGGGAGCTCCCTGCCACCCAGAGCCCTGCGGGCATGTCCTTGGTGACTATGGTCAAGAGGCTTCTGGTCCTGGCTCTGTCCCTCACTAACCTGACCTTTGACAGTTCAAGCCGCCTTTTAGAACTTGGTTTCCTCTTCAGTAACATGATCCTTACGAGTGCTTGCTACGTGCCACTGTTCTGGGCATCAGGATAGAGGCAAAAATAAAGTAGATACACTTAAATCCCTGTCCTCTTGGAGCCTGAAAATTCTAGAGATCCAGTGTAAGAAGTAGAAGCAGTTTGCCAGGATCATTGCAGGTAGCAGCTGATGGATTCGGCTGTACCGTGGCCTCATTTGGTCTCTGTGGTCTCCATTCCCTTCTCCTGTCCCCATTATCTTTCCTGGTCTGTTTTAAAAGAGCCAGTTGGGGTAGGCAGTGACCATGACATGCAGAGAGTGACTGTCACTAGGAGAATGGCACTGACTCACTTAACTTTGCCACCATAGGAGTCAGTCAGAAGACAGTGTGCTTTCTCTCAAGGGAATGGAGTTTCCTTGTCATTCAGGTATCTGCATAATATTTCATACTCTTGATGCCGGATAACTGTGACAAATTTTATGGTAAATGGGCTTTTGAGGCACTGGCCAGGTTCATTTTTTCCCCAATGCTAGCTGTGATTCTTTATCCTGGCTGCCCATTAGAACAGCCTGGGAGGTACTGTTTGTTTAATTTCATCATTCTGATTCAGTTGAACTACAGTGGTGCTTTCACATTAGAATTTCTACAGATCTTTCTGGGTGATTCTAAACGCTGGCCAGGGTTGAGAACCACAGAGATGGGTGGTTCACAGTCTGGTTGGGTTGCCTTGCTGCTACTGCAGGTAACATACCCATTCTTGGAGATGCTGTCTCTTTTTTATGTAGGCATGGCAACGACCAACGAGTGTTCCGCCTAGAATTTGTCTCAAACCAAGAATTCACTGAAAGCGAATTCATGAAATGGAAAGAAGCGGTAAGTGGATAATGGCACCTAGCACTTTGTGAAAAATCTGAGAATGTTTCCAGAATCTCTTATTAATGACCTTTTGTCATGTTTTGGTCTAGATGTTCTCTGCTGGCATGCAGTTGCCCACTCTAGATGAAATCAATAAGAAGGAGTTGTCTATTAAAGAAGCTCTTAATTATAAATTCAATGATCAGGACATTGAAGAGGTAAGAAACCTAGTGCCCCAGAGACTGGAAATTTTCAGTAAGAACTGGTGTTCAAGAAGATCGTGACTTTCTTTCCTTTCCCAGTATCTAGACGTTTTTATCTATGCTACTATTGCAGAAGGATGAGAGAATATTGCTATTAACTACCTTATTCATAGTTCATCCAGATTTTCTCTGTACATTCTCATTTGAAGTCCTAGAGTAAAGAAGTGTACTTCAAGTTCAGGGATCTGTATTCTGCTAGGCTTGGTCCTTCAAGAGTTTCCTTTCTCCAGAACATTTTTGTAAAGTTCTTTGATCTCTGTTCTCTTGGGCAGTGGCTAGCCTTACAGTACCAGGTCCTTGGGCTGCTGCTGCTTATTGGTGCATTTTCCTTCAGACTGTGCCAGAAGAATCTCTGTGACCCTGGAAGCAGCATGGTATCCCTTGAAATGAACTCGCTCTGTCTCTCTGGGGCTTGACACTGCTATAGAAAGAGCAGCCCCCTTTTAACTAGCTGCTAGCCTCCAAAATGGCTCCTTTACCCTGTCTGCAGAAGTAGTGTAGGAATACCTCACTGCTGGTATCTCCTCTCTGGTACAGATTGTGAAAGAGAAGGAAAGGTTCAGGAAAGCTCCACCCAACTATGCTATGAAGAAGACTCAGCTGCTAAAGGAAAAGGTGAGGACTTGCACTTGAATCTCCTTCCTTATCCTGTAAGATGTGGAAATCAGACTTGTTCATCCCCTGCTCAGTTAGTGGTGGCAGGATTGGGCTCCAGAGGAAGCAACACGGTGCCTTCCTGGCATCTAGGCACCATCCCTTGGCCATTTTTCTTTCTGTAAATTGTGTCCGTTCCGTTCCCTTTACTTTCCTAGTCCCTTTCGTTTTGTGTGTAATAAGACAGAAGCCAGGGTCCTCTCAGCACTAGGTCTGAACAGATGATGCTTCCAAGCCCAGCTGAGGTGGGCAGCTTTCCATTTTTCACATCAGGATGGGGGGTGAGCCTTGGTAGGGTGAGTGAGCCCCACGGGGCCTGAGTTCCAAGGTCAGTGTTACACATCCCTGTACCAGGGGCCCTGGGCCAGATAGGATACAGCAGGGTGTTAACTACTATAATAAGAATTATACCTTGCATTTGTAAAGTTTGTTTTCAGTGTCCTTTCATATTTCCTGTCATTTGTTCATCATGTGAGCTGTCTTGCCTGTGCTGGAAGTAAGGGGAGACATGATACAAGGCCCTTCATAGCCAAAAACTAACACGTCTCTCTGTGTGCAGGCCATGGCTGAGGACCTGGGGGATCAGGACAAGGCCAAACAGATCCAAGACCAGCTGAATGAGCTGGAGGAGCGGGCAGAGGCCCTGGACCGCCAGCGGACCAAGAACATATCCGCCATTAGGTGTGTTACAGAACCTCGGGCTCCCATTCTGAACCCACAGATCTTGCCACAATCATCAGGCCAGCCTGTGGCCTTGCACGCGCAGCGCTGGTTCCATGTGGCTTCAGGGTCAGGGCTGAGGGCTTCCCTCCCTCCTTCTACAGCCCACTGACTCACCCTCTTACTCCCCCACAGTTACATCAACCAGCGGAACCGGGAGTGGAACATTGTGGAGTCTGAGAAGGCCCTTGTGGTGAGTAAGACAACTTTATTTAGATCACTGAAAACAATTTTAATTAATAAAATGATAGGAAATCTTCTGTACATCTTGTTCCCATTTATTTTTCTAATTACTGACGTTAACATGTACATTTCCCGTACATGGGCTCTGGGTGCACACACAGACCCATAAGATTGATCAATTGATGACGACAAGCAGTAGTCTCCTGCCCATCTTACCCTCCCCATCCCTTAGCCTCTACTCCACAGGTGTTCATTTTTATCGACTTTTGCTTTCGTTCTTTCTGTTGTTGCCCCCATATCTGCTCTACTCTTGAAGGGAAGACAATGATAGACCACATTTGACTTTCTTTAGCCCTTGAAAAGACTGCTATTTATACGTAAGTTTAGGATAAATGAAAGGCGGGGGAGAAAAAAAGACACAGTTCTGTAATGCACGCTGTCTGTTTTAGGCTGAAAGTCACAACATGAAAAACCAACAGATGGATCCCTTTACCAGGCGGCAGTGCAAACCTACCATCGTTTCTAACGTGAGTGCCAAAAGAGGACGTTTTAGTCAGGACCTAGATTCTAGGACATAAAATGAATTCCATTAGGAGATTAATAAGGAAGTTAAAAATAATGTTGTCTTAGTGGGATTTGCATGGCTCGAACTCTTAGGTCTGGCTACCTCTTTTTTTTTTCTTTTCAATTTTTTAAAAATCTTGCTGTAGGACGTACAGAGAGTGAAAACCTGGCATGGATTTGTAGACACCTCCAGACTCCCTGCTCTGTCCGCCCCCACCCCCACCCCCGCCCCCGCCAGTGTCAGGGTGGGTTTACCAATGCAGCAGACATGAGGAATGTGGAGGCTGGGCCACCTAGGGCCAGGCCAGCTTGGGGCTGGGCTTCAGAGCTTTAATTGCTGTTCTTTGCTGCCTTGAGGAAAACCCCACTGAGCTGCTGATGGGTCCACTGTTGTGCTTGTCATATTAGTGGTGGTTGATGTGAAAGAATCTGGCGTAGCACTGTGTGAGTGTTAAATACTCTCTGAAATAATGTAATTTCTCTCTCAGTCCAGAGACCCAGCTGTTCAAGCTGCCATCTTGGCCCAGCTGAATGCAAAATACGGTTCTGGAGTATTACCAGATGCTCCAAAGGAAATGAGCAAGGCAAGTACGGTACTGCCCAGAGGCCTGCAGAGCAAGGCTGCCGGCCCGGATGCTCGGCCTGGCGTAGGCCTGACTCATCTCACCCAAAGGAACATCGCCTCCCACCTGCAGTCCGTTCTCAGTTCTGATTCTTTTTTTTTTTTTTTTTTTTAAAGATTTTATTTATTTATTTATTTGACAGAGTTCACAAGTAGACAGAGAGGCAGGCAGAGAGAGAGAGAGGGAAGCAGGCTCCCCGCCGAGCAGAGAGCCCGATGTGGGACTCGATCCCAGGAACCCGAGATCATGACCTGAGCCGAAGGCAGCGGCTTAACCCACTGAGCCACCCAGGCGCCCCCTCAGTTCTGATTCTTAACAAATACGATAAATAACTACTGAATTTTAGTCGGACAACCTAAATGCTAAACCCAACGCCACTACTTAAGTAAGGCCTGGATTACAGCATTAGGTGACTGACACGTAGCCCTCTGAACCACGTTTTCTCACATGTAAAATGGGGGTAGTACTCTATTCTGCTGTCTTGCGGGATAATTAGGAGAAGCTGATGACACATGAGGATCAGATGGTTGTAGAGGTGAAAGCTCTTTGAAAACTAAAATGTTAAATGGAGAAACTGCCCATTTAGAAGCAGTTTTTCACTTAAGTTAGGTCTTTTCCTGTGGAGCCCAAACTGTCCCAGGAATTTCTGAAATCTTGGGTCAGAAGGTGGCTTATTGTCTTAAGCCTCCCCCACATCCCCCACACCACTGACATGAGCCTTCCCTTTCCTGTCGTAGGCTTCAAAAAAGAAACCTTCTGTGGCCTCTCCTGTTCTTCTGAGAGAAGGAATCGGAAAAGGGCCTTCGCAGAGAGAGCTAATGAACTTGAACCAAAGCTTTTTTTTTTTTTTACCGTTAGTGGCTGCTGCTTCTTGAAGTCTGCTTGCATTTATACTTTTATAATGAGTTTTTCTCTTCACGTTGCAGGGTCAGGGAAAGGATAAAGATTTGAATTCTAAGTCAGCCAGCGACCTCTCAGAAGATTTGTTCAAAGTACATGATTTCGATGTGAAGATTGATTTACAAGTTCCCAGCTCGGGTAGGTGAGGGTGGGGGAGCAGAGCTGGCTGAGGACCAGATGGCATCAGGGCTGGACTTGGCCAGCAGGGAGGTCCGATGTTCGGGAAGCAGGGCGGGTGTCCACTCGTCTGTATCTGTAGAGGCCTCAGTAAGCGCAGCTGCAGGCGTGTTTGAGAGGGAGCAGGGCCAGGCAGGCAGGCTGCCGGAAGGAGTGCCTCGCAAGACTAAAAAGGATCTGGTGGGCTCCTCAGATGCCAATTGGCTCTTCTCTCCCACAGAGTCAAAGGCTTTGGCCATCACCTCCAAGGCTCCACCAGCCAAAGATGGGGCTCCACGGAGATCGCTAAACTTGGAAGACTACAAAAAACGACGAGGGCTTATTTGAGCGCACCCAGCCTGCTGCTTCTGACCCTGCATGCCCCGTCACAGTGTCCTCTTTTCCTCTTTTCCTTTGATTTGCCCTCTTTGGGCTGGAGCAGCAGTAGAACTGGGAAGAGACTCTAGAACTGCCAGTCATCTGTACTATAAACCATTTGCTGTATAGACCTTCCTTGTCTGCACCATCTCCCACCCACCCGCCGGGCCTCTCACCCAGTGTGGGCCTGGGCTCTCTCGGGCTTTATCCATGTCTTTAGATTTGTGTTTGCCCTTTTTTGTTTTGTTTTGTTTTTGTTTTTGTTTTTGTTTTCAAACCAGCACAGTTCATTGGCCACTCTGCACACATTCAGTATTAGCGTGGAGCTGGGATTCCTGCTGGAGCCCCTGGAGGCGACAGCAGCAGCACCAGGCAGTCTCCCCCGAGGGCTGCCTCGGACCCAACCATTGACCATTTGGCCCCGGACCCTTGTGGAGGGAGTGGGGACTGGGCACCTGCAGTCCTCCTTCCTCTCTCCTCATCTTTCTCTTCTTCCCATCTCTGCAGAAGAGAGGTTTTCAAATCCAATTTAGTTTCCAAAAAGTGTACATTTGGGGGGGGCTGTTTGAGAGAGAGAGAGCGTGAGCGTGCGTGTGTGTGCGTGTGTATGTATGTGTCTGTAAGTGTGGATTTTTTTATCATTTTTTTAAAAATGCAGTACTCTTTGTATCAGTCTGTCATGGGTCTATAGCTGTTTCAGATATTTTTCAGCTGTACTTGAGCATCTGAAACTGCAAGAAAGAAACTCATTAAATGTGATTCTTCTTACTAAACAGGCCTGACTGCTGTAGCTATGTAACATCCCCTCCCCCACAGCCCTTTCCCCACTCCGCTCCCACCTCAGAGAAAGCCTCCCCGCCACACACTCCTCACACCCCCCACCCCCGTGTGGTCCCTGCCCTGTAGGCTGTGTCCCGGCAGGCAGGTGGGAAGCCCCCTAGCCAGGTACCAGACAGGGCAGTGCACGTGTCTTGCTCCCACCATGGGGACGGCCCACAGCTTCTTGGATGCACATAGACTGTGTCTTTTCCCCACCCCCACGTACTCGTCTCTTCCTAGTGATTCTGTTTTGCTGTTTCAGGAGGAATGATATTTCGTTTTGTTTCTTTGAAGAGAAAGTATTCCACGTGACTGTGGCAAGAACGAACACCAAAAGGTCTCGGTTGCAGATGTTACAAGCATGTGCAGTTTTGTGTGTGTGTGTGTGTGTGTGTGTGTGTACCTATATATATGGTAAGCATATATATTGTTGTGCAGCTAGGGGGAAGCCAGCAAAGAAGTGTGTATGTCTTTATGAAATGTTTGAAAAGAGATAAGCTGACGGCTTGATAATCATTCTCAGGTGTAAAGCTCCAAGTGTAAATAAAAGTGGCATTTAACAAATCTTTTCAGAACAAAGTACAGCTGACTATATATACCAAGAACTAAGCTAAAGAAACAGCTGAGAGCGGCCGAGTCCCACAAGAGGGAGAGGAACTTAGAGGCTCTGCTCTGTACTTCTTCACCCTACTTTTCTGTCAGGAAGTGGGATGACGGGAAATCACGGACTTCAGTTATATGTAAACGGAAAAATGAACTTGGTGACTCTTCTGGGTTTAGTGGAGCCTCGGTGTTGCTTTAACTTAGTTTACACTTTTTTATTTGAAAACGAAGCAGCAATGGATGGTTTAAAAAAAAAAGTATTGTGACTGTAAACCTGGTGAACTGAGACTGTAACCCAGCTCTGTGCTGGCTGTGCTGCAGTTCGGTTGGGCAGAGGTGGGCAGTGGACTCATTAAAATCATCTATACTTGAACAGTCCATTGGCCGCAAGCCTTTACAGATTGTTGTGTAAATGTGGAATCACAGATCGCGAACCGTTGCCCGAACTCCGGCGAAGTCCCGGAGGCTGCTGGGACCTCTCCTATCATGACGAACCTGGACTGTTTTCTCTTTCTGGTTTTCAGAGACATGAAATTATAGAACCCATCTAATTTGCTGCAGTCATTCTGATCCACCATGTAGATCTGTATTTAGTATCATTTGGATTTGGAGAAGTGTCGATTACATTATGGCTGTGTAATAAAATTTTTATTAAAACTGCATCACACCTGTAGCCACTTTACCCCCACTCCCCACATGCAGCTGCGGAAACTTGGGCTCCTGAGACGCCAGCACAGGGCCAGGAGAAAGGCCGCCCAGCGGACCCCCTGAGGAGTCTCCTTGGTGGTTGGAGTCAGGACTGAGGACTCCTCTCCAATCTCCACTGAGGCAGGGCCTCTGAACCGAGACCTTGACCAGACGTAAGCTGTTGGCTTGGTCTCCCACCCACCCCCACCCCCAGCAGGGTTTCTTGGCAGTTCTCAGTATTTCTTAGGCTGGGGAGTTGCTGCCATGGCGCCCTGCTCCACGCCTCCCCCCACCTCCCGTGTGGTTTCAGTGTTGAAGGGTGCGGCACCTAAGGCTGTTTTATACATTTTTCACTTCCTTCCAAGAAGCAAAAAAGCCAATGCCCATAAGCCTAGCTCACGATGTATAGGTCTGTTTGTCTGTCTTGGTTCTGACAGGTGCAGGGAAACTCTACTGCCTACAGCTTCCCTTCAAAATGCTTTTTTCTTTGTTTCTGTGGAGTCCTGACCTGTCACTCAAACTGTACAGATATTTGTAAATAAACTTTCAACCCTGTTTTAACAAGGGAATCAGATTTAGTCCAAGGATTGCATCCCAAGTGGCAACTCTCAGAGTCATGTTTTGGAAGTCCAAGAGAGCCTCTCTTGTGCTTGGTTTCCCTTCTTCCCCTTCTCTTAGCTTGACACCTCCCTAACCTAAAGTGGCTCTTTTTAGCTCTTCAGCAGCCTGGTTCCCCAGAAGCTTCTCTGGAAGCTGTCTAGGGCCAGGGAGACCTCCAGTTGGCTTGGAACTTGGAACCAACCAGCTTTAACAGAACCTCGTAGGACCCTCATACTGCCCCACCCCAAGGAGAGGCTGCTGCTTCCAGCTTTCAGTGACCTGGGCACAGTTCCTTTGCTCTCCTGTTCCCAGCTTATCATGAGTGCCAAGGGGGAGCCCAGGGATTGGAGGCCATGGAAGAAATACTAGTATCCTTTTCTCAGTCTCCCACGATAGGGAACTCTGTAAGGGCTTCACGGCCCCACAGGAGGATGTGTTTCGAACCTTTCTGACCATGGTTTAAGAAGCAACATCCTGGATCATCTACTGCACTTTTGAGATGGGAAGGTGGGGGAGGTGATAATTCCAATGGTAGGAGCCCAATCCAAGCCCACCTCTGGTGTTGGGAGAGGTGGGTCCCTGGGGTTCACCCTGCAACTGTGCCAGCGAGGTTTTCTCCCAACTCTGTAACACTCCCACTGCCTGACTGCTGGGAACAGTGGGATCTCTAGGCCCTAAAGAGTGGGGATTCTTACCAGAGGACAGCCTTATCTGTGCATCTCCCAAGATCCAGTGCCCTAGGGCAGCCATAGCCCAGAACAGAAAGAAAACTGACTGCCACAGGCAGAGGGGAGAGAAGGCCTTGGTGTGGGGGGCTTTTCTTGGGTAATCCCAGATTCCAGTGTCCAGCAATTCTTGGGACCCAGGAGACCATCAACCCTTAGCACAGAGTTTTTCTGTGACGTTACTGACCCCTGGGGACCTCTGAGTTCCTTGAAGAGTGAAGTGTTGGGCTGGAGGGAACAGCACCACTATAAGAGGGCCAAGGAGCAGCCTGGCTTCTCTGTAAGGCTCCCCAGGCCAGCCCCAGTCCTGGCTGAGCAGAACCTGGAGGTGGACTTTCATGGCCCTCACAGGGGTCTTAGCTACTGCAGCTTAGGCACATTTAGGGATTCCAGAAGGTGCTCTGGGCCCAGGGGAGACCCAAGAGTCACAAGGCACTGCAAGCTCAGTGTAGGGTTCATATCCTAGTTCAGCCACTCACTTCCTAGGGCTGAGCTAGTTAACTCCTCTGAGCCACAAATTTCCCTGTCTTTAACATAAGATCTGTTAGGATCCTGTTAAAGATTAAGTGTACCTTCCCCCAGAAGTGGTTCAATAAATGCTATGCTCTCCTCTGCTATGGTTAGAGCAGAGGCTGCCTGGAAGGAGAGACTGCAGAGTTGCAGGGGTCGGGGTCCACATGGAGTGGGCAGGGGGCTGAGGGAGGGGGTGTAAGCGGCAGGAGACCAGCCAGAGTGGGGCAGCGGGCCAGAAGCTGGAGCGCTTGGCTTGGAAACTCCAGGCAGCTCCCACCTCTGGGGCCAAGAAGCTCTGCTTCCAGGTTGAGATTCTGATGGGTGGGCACTGAGGTGGGCCTGGGGAAAGTCCAGAGGAGCAGAGCTGCTTTTCGGCCTGCCCTCTCCAGACGGGCCAATCTGAAAGTGACTGGGAAGGCCACCCCACCTCACCACGCCCCATCAGAAGGATGGCGAGGTTCCACCTACCCACCCCCACCAAAAGCCATTAAAACACAGAACAGTACCAGACCGGAAAATCCGTGTAAAGAAGACTAACAAAATGTTCTGATCCTTCCCACAGTGACAACCTCAATACCCTCTTTAAAATATCAAATTTTTGAGGCGCCTGGGTGGCTCAGTGGGTTAAGCTGCTGCCTTCGGCTCAGGTCATGATCTCAGAGTCCTGGGATCGAGCCCCGCATCGGGCTCTCTGCTCAGCAGGGAGCCTGCTTCCCCCTCTCTCTCTGCCTGCCTCTCTGCCTACTTGTGATCTCTCTGTCAAATAAATAAATAAAATCTTTAAAAAAAATATCAAATTTTTATGAGACACCTGGGTGGCTCACTTAGTTAAGCCACCAACTATTGATCTTGGAGTCATGAGTTCTAGCCCCACGGAACCTTTTTTTTTTTTTTTTTTTTTCTTTTTTTTCTTTTTAGCTGTCAGTGACCCTGCTTTGCAAAATGCGCGGAGGTGGCATCTTGCTCGGCTCACATTCACCTCTCTGACCAGGAATGCACGCGTCTGTCTCCAACTATTTTCCCTTGAGAACTCCTCCTCACCCTTCCGCGCTCAGCCCCAAGGTCACCTCCTCCGGAAGCCTTCCTTGACCTCCCCTCCCACTCGGGTTTGGGAGCATCTTCTGCTGGCTCTCCCTAGTGCGGCACTCACTACGCTGTACTGTATTTATGAGTCTCCACCCTCAGCCTGGAAGTGACTTGTGTCTGCCGCGTATTCCCCAACTCTCAGCGCCACCCGGCACTTAGAGAACGCCCAGTAAATGTGGTGGAGGGAAGGGGAAGGAAGCGGGGCAAGGTGGTTGTCCAGCGGAGCCGCTGCGTTCTGGGGCTTGTCCCTCCCATTCTGCCCCCAGACCGCAGCGCCCGCGGGTCTGGGACCCAGGCCGCCCACCCTTTGAGTGCGCCCCAAGACCGCGAGAAACGCGCCTGAGGCAGATGGCAGCGGCTCGCTCACCCGGGGCCTGTGCGCCGCGGGGCTCGGACGAACCTACAGCCTCGGCCTCCGCTCGCCCACTCCGGGTCCCCGCTGCCTGCAGGTGCGCGCGCTCCTCCAGGCGTGGCCTCCAGCGGGATGCGGGCGACTTCCCGGGTTTGGGAGCGCGGTCCGAGCTTTAAACTCCCGCGGCCCGCGCGGAGGAGGAGCGGCACCAGCTCCCCCCTCCCAGCTTCCCCGGTGGCTCCTCGTTTCTCCTGGCCACCGGATGTTCTGCGGACTCGGTGGCCGGGCACCCGGCGTGGAAGTCTGGCCGGCAGAGGTATCACCAGTGGAATGAGGGGAGGCACCCACGCCATACGTACAAGATTCCGGGAAGTGCCCTAGTGGGGACGTGGGGTATGGGGAGTTCTCAGATCAGTCCCTTCGACCGGCAGCCGCATCCTTGACCTCAGATGCTCTCGGGCCCCTCTGCCTCCACTTGGCCATCGGGAGAGACCTGTGGGTTCTGAGTTCTGGAGAGAGGGAGGAGGGAGAACCACAGGAACACAGACTCCTGGGAGGGATGGGAAACCTTGCTTCTGAACTGTGTCAGGAGAGAAAATGTTCTTACTGCGCATACACAGGCGTGGTGGCACATTTTGTTTGTTTTAAACCAGTGATTCAGATGGTGAAGGGTCAGCAAACGCTGCTGGATCCCTAGCCCTGCTAAACTGTCCTAGCTGGCAAACCCAGCATATTCCCACCAGGTCTGTCAATAATGGGGTGAGAGATTGCATGGGAAGGAAGAGACACCCAGGAGCAAGGAAAAGGCTCTAGGGTTGTCAAGTGAAAACAGCCTTTCACTCCTTATCCTGGAGGAAGGAGACCTCCAGTTCTTACCTCCCTCCCCCCAAGTTGCCATTGGGCCCTGGCTCTGGCCAGCCCTCCAGCGCCCTGTCTAGTATGCTCTGGGCAGAAAAGGGCATCAGACTGAGGGTGCTAGGGAATGGGTGGGACGCATGGAGCAGCTGAAAGGGCAAGGTCTCACTGACAGTCCCTCGGAAACAGCCATTTAGTATCCAGGGGCCTGTTTTCTAGTTGGGTCCTTTCTGGCTTCCTTCCTCCAGATGATGATGTAAAGCGACACATCACCACCCCAAGTAAGGAAGGGAGGTCATTATAGGAGCTACTCATTCCTGCGTCCCTTTCACCTAGCCCAATGCGTGCTTTGAGGAAGCTGCCCAGTGGAAGTTTGCTCTGTGAATGAATGAATGAATGAATCACAGGTATCGTCACAAAACGCTGGAAACTCCGGGTCAGTTAAGTCCCTTGGAAGACACCAAGTCCCACAGAGCATGTCTCTCAGAGTTGCTGACCAGAATGAGACCTTGTACCACTTAGTCCAGCGGAAGATTTGCCACCACCCTGTTCCTCCCCCTCCCCACCCACAAACACACAGAGACACACACTACACGTACCAGAGAGGCTCTGCTCTCCCTGGGAAGCTTTCAAGTTCCCTCAAAGCAAAGGCTGAGCTCTATCCTTTTTCCCTCCCTGCCTGTGGGTCTTGCGAAGAAGAGACTGGCGCTCTGCCAGGCCAGGGGTGGTGAGCAATAACTTTATCCTGATGCCCTGCTGTCCTGGGAGTGGAGGGAGGAGGAGCAGAGCTAAACGAGGCAGGCTGTGGAATGAAACCAGGCCCCCAGAAAACCTTCACCTCACACACCCCATTTTCCAGCCCTCCCCCTTTTCCCAGCTCTTGTGCCCAGTGTTGTTACCCCCTAGGAGGTATGTAGCTCCCAGGCCTGATAAATCCTGAAGGCCATGGGGAGGGGGAAAGACTCAGATACTCCAGAGAGCAGGCATTGGGGGGGGGGGTGGTAAAGGAGGATCCATGAACTGAGATGGAGAACAAGAAGAAAGATTATTTTTTTCCTCAGATAC